TGAAATGGTCTGTCATGATGACAAATCTCTGGAACTGTTATTATTACTAGTTTCCAAGGAATGTTGTTATCCTCAACAACTGTCTGGTTTCTAAAAATTGTTATAGGTTACCCTGCTCCAGAGCATACAAGTTTTGGAAATAAGTACAAATCACTCTGTTCCTGGAAAAACCACTAGCTGTTCCATGGTCTTGCAAGTGTAAGAACCAAAATAACATTCCAAACCCCTAATGGGGAAAATTGTAAGTTCAGTTCCCAACCAATCAGTAAATGACTCATGTATGTTATAGCCAATCAATATGTTGTCATACTCCTGCCTAGTGACCAAAAAGATATAAAAACTGTTTGCTTTGGAAATTTGGAGTCTATCTCTTTTCAGAGAAAGACCCCAACATGTTGGAATAAAATCCTTTTGCTTTTGCATCGAACTTTCGTCCTGTGAATGACTCTGGGGGGGGTGCATCTCCTGAAGTTGGTCCCCCCTTTGGGCCCAACATTACTTGTCCTTTTTTTCTTTGCTGCTCTTAATATTTTTCTTTATTCTGTAAGTTTGGTGTTTTGATTATTATGTGTTGAGGGTGCTTCTTTTTGTGGTCCAGTCTATTTGGTGTTCTGTAAGCTTCTTGTACTTTCATAAGCATATCCTTCTTTAGGTTGCAGAAATTTTCTTCTATGATTTTGTTGAATATCTTTTCTGTACCCTTGAGCTGTATTTCTTCACCTTCTTTTATACCTATTATTCTTATGTTTGGCCTTTTCAGGGTGTCCTATATTTCCTGGATATTTCTGTTATGATAAATCTTTCCGCCAAAAGCCACCCGAGCCCTACCACTACGTGGGCTTTATGCCAGCCGCCCACCTGAGTTAGGGCCCCAGTTAATGCACAGAGAGACTTGTATTAGGTACAATACTGCTTGGCCAATGACTAAGATTCTCATCTGCTTTTTGTGGAAAGATTTATCGTAACAGATATTTTGTGTTAGGGATTTGTTGGACTTGAGATTTTCTCTGGTCTGGTCGATGACTATTTCCTCTAGTGAGTCTTCAACACTTGAGATTCTCTCTTCCATCTCTTGATTTCTATTGGTTATACTTACATCTGTAGTTCCTCATCATTTATCCAGCTTTTCTCTTTCCACCATCCTCTCATTTTGTGTTTTCTTTATTGTTTCTATTTCAGCTTTCAAGCCTTGAGCTGTTTGAATTGTTTCCTTCACCTGTTTGGTTGTTTTTTGTTTGTTTTGTTTTGGCTTTCTTTGCCTTAAGAGATTATTTTATTTCTTGAATTTTTTGGTTCGTCTTTCCTTCCATTTCCTGTATTTTTTGTTTTTTTTTTGTTTTTTTCCATTTCTTTAAGGGATTTTCTGTTTCCACTTTGAGGGTCTCTAACATCTTCATAAAGTTGTTTTTTTCCATAAAGTTGTTTTTAAGGTCCTCTTCTACTTCATCTGCATTGGGATGCTCAGGTCTTGATGGTGTAGAATCCCTAGATTCTGGTGGTGTCATATTGGTCTTTCTGCTATTGAGTGTATTCTTATACTGTAGTCTTCCCATCCTTTCTTCGAGTGGATGCAGGTGGGATCTCTCCCTCTTCTCTCCTCTCCTGGTGGAGTAGGTAGGCCAATATTTCAGTGTTGGCATTTTTGGATGGTCTGGCCTCTCCTGGTGTTCTCCTCACTCAAGAGGTGGGTATAAGGAGGCAAGACTCAAGTGGAGGGCAGAAGGTGGAGGGCAGAGGGCAGAGGGAGTAGGTGGAGACAAGACTGAGTTGTGGCCAGATTCTGGGTGGTCCATCTTTCTGGAAGTTCCAAGGGGTGGTGGTGGTGGTAGTTCTGTTATTTCATTTTAAATGATACATGATGCACCACTATTGCTCTGCTGAAAGAAAGGTCACTGTTTGTGAAGATATACATAGTACAAGACTTCACTCTCAACCTCCCCTGCCCAGTGCTTTTCATCCAGGTCAACTGCCCAAGGATTTAATACAGCTGGGATGATGATGTGGAGATGCTTTCCTATAACTTTTGAGTAGGAGGACCCTTTAAAGATGCTAGGGATTTGCCTTGTGGCAAAAGAGATGGTCAATTGAGACCATGCATGGAATAGCATGGTATCGAGAATACAAGTATTCTTTGGCAAGGGTAAGGGAATACCTTTACACACACACACACACACACACACACACACACACACACCAAAAAACATGGATTAGAAGAAGATAATGTAAGTCTTTATTGCAGATGTGGCAAGCCATGCTGGGAATATTGACATTAAACATTAGCATTCCAACAAATAGAATGAAACCTCAACAGTTCTGACAGGCACTCAGTGGCAAAGCTCCATTATGGGGCTTATCTCATGAATTCAATCATTATTTCACTTGTTCAATTCAGATTTGAACTCCAATAATACATCCGACTGGAAGGAAGTAGGCAGGGGACTGTGCTTGAATCTCAGTTTACTGTAATTGAAAGAGATAAGTGCTTTCAAAGGACAGGCAGGTAAAATGACACAGAGAGGCATGACACTTGAGACAAGCTTTAAAACAAGCATCAGCTATGAGTTGAAGATACAACCTTCTGTACTTCTTGTTTCCTTTTGGGGTAACATTTAAACTTAAAGGAAAAATATAAATAGTAAGTAATTTCAATAGACATTATTTATAAATGACAATGTCATTAATATAATTTTAAATAGCGAATGCAACAAAATGAATCTATTTTGGTCTTGGTTGCTGTATATTTTTGATATATATATATATATATATATATATATATATATAGAGAGAGAGAGAGAGAGAGAGAGAGAGAGACAGAGACAGAGACAGAGACAGAGGTGGGGAGAAAGCATTATACATTTCTATATACTTAATAAAGACTTGGATGTTGTTCTAAAACAATTTATTGCATTGTCTTATCA